GAATTTATAAAAATAATCGTGAGTTGAATTAGATGGCTTCTTTGATGAATGCCTAGTATTTTTGTGATTATTTTAAAATATAATTAGGATCGTACACATTGACTCGAAGAATTTCGTCTGCACGTGATATCCAGGTTAAAAAAAATGAGATAAAGGCTATCTTTCATTAATCTGTCCAAGTGGATAAGGGTCCAAGATAGACAGTTGCAACTATGAATTGAAAAAACTTGATCCATATGAGGAAAAATCCATCATGGTAAGAGACACGAGGTGAAATGTGTCCGAGATGAGTGAGTTGAGAAAACCCAACTCGCATGAGAAGAAACACATTATAACGAGAGGTACAAAGCAAAATATACTTGAAGCATATTAGCGGAGAATACTCGGTCTGTTTAAAAAAAAATCCATTGTGAGAGGCACAAGACAAAGTATGCCTGAGGCACGTGAGTCAAGAAAACTAACCCACATAAGAAAAAGTTTATTATGACAAAAAGCATAAGACAAAATATATCTGAGATGCGTGAATTAGAAAAATTCGACTCGCGTAAGAAAAAACTTGCCATGACGAAAGACACAAGGCAAAATATACCTAAGACGCATGAGTTAGAAAAATCTAATCCATGTAAAAAGAAACTCGCCATGGTAAGAAGTACACAACAAAATGCACTTAAGCCATATAAATCGAGAAAAACCAACCCTCGTCGGTGTTTGCACAACTCATAGAGGTCGAGAACCCCAACCCCCATCGACTTTCTTATGACACGGGGAGGTCAGGCAACCTCGACACCCATTAGCATCAAAAGGCACTGGTGTTAGGTGGGCATCCCCGACTCTCATCAACGTTTGCTAGGTATATTAAGGTCGATGATTCTAGAGAGACACAAGTCGAGAAAGTTTGACCCTCCCCTCCCTTGTTGATTTAAGGATGTTAGGTGCCCTGACCCCCCCTCACCGAGTCATGGAGGTCGGGTGCTCGACCTCACTCGCTATCAAGGTACGGAGGTCGAGTGTCCCAACCCCCTCGCTCCTCTATTTTCTCCTCCTCCAATTGGAGCATATGCAACTATCTCTATAGTTCTTATAACTTGTCGACTAAGGACTCGTTAGCTATCACGAACTACTTAGGCTTAGAAGGGACTTTCTTGGAGTTTTTCGGTAAGAGGAGAGGGGAGAGCCTATCTCAACTCTCCTTATCGACTTCCTCCGAGTAGAGACAAAATTCATTGACAGAGTTGTTGACGTCATTCAATAACAAGTTCTTCAATGCCTTTTGGCTCCTCCCCATCCTTTGAACGGTCGTGACTACCGTGGTTGACTAGAAGGAAAGAGAGAAAAGAGAAATGCTAAACTTGTATTATAATAAATTTAATAGAGCAATCAATTTATAGTTAGACGACATTGAAAAGCTCAAATCTCTCTATGGTTCTCTTCATCAAGTGGATGTTTGTTTTTGAAAAATATCAAGGATTTGAAATAGGAATCTCAACGGTTCCCTCCACTTTTGCATGGTGCACGTATTACATAACAACTACACTTCAGAACCTCTTAGAAAGAATTTTTGAAATGTACTTTTGATCGAAAGGGGGTGAGGGTATAACAAATGATAAAGAGAATATCGTCACTCGTATAACTCCCGGGTTAAAAAAACAAAAAAAGACAAAGGTTGTTCTTCTTTCATTTGCTTACGTGGACAAGGATATAAGATAGATAACTATAAGCTCTCTTCCTCTCTTATCATCCATACGAAGAAAAGACTAATGAAAAATTATTAGAGACGTTTGAGAATGGTTTCTTTATAAAATATTTTATTTTTTTTATTATTATAGCCACGTATACTTTCAGATTAGTAACGTAGATATCGAAAAAATTAGGTTAAAATTTCTCGCAATATCGATCGTGACCTCTAGAACAAATCGATGTTGGTACCTCTATGGTGTCTTGGTACATGATCTTAACTATATTGGGTTGATCATAACTTCGGTAATATCTTTCAATAATGCACATCTGTTGTGTCTCCGTACCCGTGTTTTGGGGAGACGTCGTCATGCAACGAGGACCAACCAAAAGCGGGCCCGCCCCCGCCATAATAGAGATGGACCCCATAACCCCTGCTCGTGAAATATCTGCACCTGATGGTGTCACTTTTAATAAAAAGGAGACCACCACTACGAAAATATACGGTAGTTGTTCACCCACCTAGCCGTCGATCTCCCACGCGGCCCCCATGTTGCGTCGCCTCTGTCGTCCGTGCTTCATTCCCGGAGGGAGGTGTGGGTACGGAAGACGGACGTCGCACTAGTTTCCCTCTTTTATTCAACATCGATAATTGTTGGGGTTGCTGCAGTAGTGGCATGACTGCAAATTAATCGAACTCGTTGGACATTTCTTTGAAGGTCTTCACTTGTATGCGACGTCGTCTCATGCACGGTATCTGACGGCCCACGGGGACAAATGAACGGTGGATCAATTGTCCGCCTAAAATTATCTATGCTGATATCTCTACATTCCTTTCCAGGAGCGGATGCCTGCGTCGATGCTTCGTACAATTTAAATCCAGCTTAGGCACGGTTCAGATCCAGGGTTGGTTCCGGGTCTCAAGCTCGCCTCCGAGGAAGACGACCAACGGGCTGCAAACTCCTGCTCCACTTCGCCAGATTTCTCCCCCGAACCCATCTCATCTCCCTCTCGGTCGGTCGCGTTCGTTATCCGATCGTCCTCGTGGTTTTCGCGGAGTTTTTGTTGGCTTCTGTGGTGGTTCCCGCTGGAGAAATTCGGATCTCGGTTCTTCACCGATCGAACCCGAGGACATCAGGCGTCTCCCTGTTCTTTCGATGAATCGGTGAGCTTAGTTCTGCGATTTGGATCTTTACTTGTTTTTATTCTAGAGATCTGATGTTTTTGTTGCTCGATCTGTCATTTCAGGGTCCAGTTTGTTCGGATCCACTGGAGAGGGTGAAAAAAAAGGTTTTGAGTTCTGGACCATCCTTCATAGCTGACCTAAAAGAAAACAATTTGTTGTTATATTGTTCCAGTAAACAGAAAAGCACTTAAAGCTCACTACAATAGAGAATTTTAATCTAGAGAATTACTGCCATGCTTACTTAAAAATCTGGAATTCCTTTCCACAGTTGGGACACTGCACATGGAAGAGCTAAAAGGTTAGCAAAATCTCCAGATTAAATACTCAGAAATAATCGAACCAAGTAATTTACTGTTCAACCGAACTAGACTTAGTATTCTAATTTGGTTACTTTGTTGCAACCGGGCGCTTGCCTGAGGTGTCTGGTGCCTGGGCTCAAGCGAGTGCCCAGGCGGCGCTTCATTGAAGCATGCTGCCTGATCGAAGCTTGAGGCGCTCTGTCACGGACTTAGCTGGTTTTGCCTAAGTCGTGCGGCACCCTTGCGTTTCCGTCCGCAAAGGTCAGTCTCCCCGAAACCTCCCATGGTCCTCTTAGGACCTATAAAAGAGAAACCGGGTTAGAGAAAGCGTCTCTCTCGGGATTCACAAGCAAACATTCCAGGAAACACTTAATAAACAATGCAAATTACAAATAGACTTTACAAGTTCAGAATAGTTGCACAACAAAGGGTCAAAATGGTCCATTACAGACCGAAAATCTCTCACACGTGTCCACATGACACAACCTTTATTTACAAGCCTAAAGAGGCCACCAAACCTATTAAAATAGGACTATTAAGCCTTTGGCCGTCCCTCTATATACTGTGCAAAGCATAAACAACTAGAAAGACACGGACATACATAAGCATTACATCAAACATCCTGTTTCGAAGTTTGTCCGTGACAGCTCGGGCCTCACCTCACTCGAGCGCTCGGGCGCCTATTTAAACCCTTGGATTGAGCTGCAACAACATTTCTAATGACAATGAATTAGGACCTTCAATTGATGGTGAATTTCTAAGACCAAAGGCTTGAGTGACGTAAACTTTCTTTCTGGTCACTAGGGTAAGATGATCTTCTTGAGAACCTAAATTGGCAGGAGCTCTGTGCACTGAACCACACTTTTAGAAGATGAGCCTTAGTATCATGATAAGGTTGTTTCTTTGCAATTTAAATTTATATTGATCCTCCACAGTCCCTGTATTAGCCGGAGCCTTGCGTATTGGGTTGCACATTTCATATTTTTTTGCACTTAAGCTTCATCTGACATGGTTATGGATCCTTCATGATTGCCCATGATGGACCGTGATCATAAGGGACTACCTTTAATTTGCTGATACCATATTATCAGGTTATAGATATGAAGGTGGGCTTAATATGCAGATATATTTAGTTAGTGTTCCCTATTAGATTATTTGCAGATGGGCTCATCTTCTTGGTAGAGTAATTGGCAATATGAGATTAATTTGAATATGACAGTTATGCTGTGTGCTTTTCTTTTATACTCTAGTTAAAGTAACTTTTTTTACCTGTTCTGTAAAACTAGGGCTATGGTTTTTGTAATTTGTTTTTCTATATTGTCATTTTACCATCATTTGCAGGATAAAGGTGTCTCATGGACGGTACAATTTTATCTTTTGCAAGGACTAACAGATTTGTTGGCACTCGTACCATTGACCATTCCCTGGGACTTTGTGCTCTTAATTTATCAAGATATAACATATGCTATTTGCCTAAAGGTACTTGTACCTCCTGTTTTTATGAATTCTCAGTTT